CAGGGCCGGGTGGCGGGGGTGGAAGAATGGCTGCGGACGGTGTGCCGGGAGGGAAAATGGCCGCGGACCACGTGTCGGGCGGAAAAATGGCCGCGGACCACGTGTCGGGCGGAAAAATGGCCGCGGACCACGTGTCAGGGGCGGAAAATGGCCGTGGACCACGTGTCAGGGGCGGAAAATGGCCGTAGACCACGTGTCATGGCGGAAAAATGGCTGCGGACCATGTCACGGGAGGGAAAATGGCCGCGTATCCTGCTCATACCCCGAGGCGGAGTTTGCAAACCGAAACAAAATTTTGCGGCCGGAGCTGGTCGTAACCCGAAAAGTTCGTTAACAGAAGCGTTCGTAAGCAGAGGTTCCACTGTACACAGTGACTAGCTCTAGTGCTAGATCTTGATGATGTAGGCAAGAACAGCTTATCTGTATTTGTCAAATGAATAATGAAAAATAGTGGAGTTATGCTTAACCCTTCATTTTTTTCCTGTTTAGGTGTCACATTTTTTCTTCAGATTGTCTTTCCTTTAAATCTCCTCTATGGGGCAAACATTTTAAGAAAGTTACCTCCAGAAAGGGAGGAAATAAACCCAGTATTCAAATACACAGTAAAAAAAAACAAAAAAAAACTCAGTTTACTAAAGGAATGGCTTCCAACCTAGTTCATTAGAACAATTTGCTTCCTGAAAATGGGGAAAAAACCAAAATCTTGTACTGCTGATTAAAGAAAAGAATACTTACTCACTAGGAAGCATCAAATAAATAATATTTTATAAGTGATGGTCTGGACTTACAGCTCGGTACTTGCTCATCTGGAATCAAAGATAAACAAGTTAGATAAGTTGAATTACCTTTTAGGTAATGATTAACAACTGTTATTCTTTTTTATAATCATCTGCCTTTCATCAGTTTGATTTTGCTATATCTGTTATATCTGAACTTTGAAATTAAGTACTCTTAAGCCATATTAACAGGAAACAGTAAATATAATGCAGAAAAAAGGTGATCTGTTTGATGTAGGCACTTAAAACACAGGTAACTTTTCCCAAATGTTTCATATACCGTAAACATTCAGATATTATGTTTTAGAGTTGTTTTAGAGTATCTTAAATCACACAGATACACAGAATATATATTTAAGTAACATGCCTTGTCCAATTATTTTACAAGATGAATTCTGTCTGTCAGGTTGATGTGATAATTGTTTGGTTGTTTATATCATGTAATTAAAAATGAGTTCTATTGATTATTCTCACAAAAGTATAATTGGACTCAGTGGTAGATAATAACTATTGTAATAGTTTTACTTTCACAATGATGTATATGCAATACATTTTCTAGTCAAAACATGTTCTAAGATGTAATGGCTTACAATGTAGATTTTTGTTTCTAATAAGATAAATAGGTTACATATAATAAAAGCATTACTGCATGCATTGGTTGTTACACATTGCTTAAAAAAGAATATATCCTTGCCTTCTTATTCCTTGTTGGTATGCATCACTAGTTAAAAGGTGGTCAACCTGGGGCTCCTCAGTTTTGCATTGCTGTTCCTTACAACTGGCCTAATCAAAGTTGCTTCACAATATCTGGAAGCCATCATGTCCCTGTTCTAGTTAATTGTCATATTTCTAACATGCAACACAATAAGAGTGTCCATGTGCATGATATAAATCAGTAGTCAGGAAGATTCAAATATTTAAATCTATATATAATCACTAGTGTAATCAGAAAGATGCTATAATAATTGTGCGTTTTTTTAATGTTAATGTTTTTGTACATCAGCTTAATAGCATAATGATTGCTGATTCTGAGTACTGACTTCTAGAAAAAGTTAGATATAACCTAGGTTTATGTATTTCTGATAATTGAGAAATCTCATATTTACCCCCATTTTTATATATCAAACAAGATAATTACATAGTTGCTACTTTCTATTCAAAATTCAGATGTTCAGAGTTTAGAACTCCGTGTTTATATTTCTATGAATCTTAAAAGTCCTCTTTTCTTAGTGTTTATAGTACATTTATTCAGGGACATTAAGTGTAATGACAGTCTTTCTAAACTTATTGTAAAAGGGGATGAAGGAGATAATCTTTGATTTATTAAGTTATGAAGTTTGAAAATGATAATTTATTATGCATGTTGACCACTGCATGCAAATTTGAATGTTTCTGTGATTTTTATTTCTATGATCCATCTGTTCTCTCTATATTCCCTTTTGATAGTGGCCCATGCTATGTAGCAAATACTCTTTGGCTCTATTTTTGTATGTAATTCTCCTAAATCAAAGTTTCCCAATTTCTATACTTCATATATTATCTCATTTTTATCATATATTGACCTTTCATAACATTGCAAAATTATGGTTGAAAAGCTATAACTTAGGATCCAGAATTATTTGCTGTTTGATTCTAGAGTTAGCAAGTGTTATGCTACAATTCTGTTCTTTGACCATTTCCTATTATATATAAATAAATCAGTGTTGCTGTTTCCCGATAACTGTTTAAAATGTTGCTGATGAGCTACTTCATGCGCTCCACCCTTTTGACTATGGATTTACAAACTGGTTTAGTAACTATGTATTTATTACTTGCAGGTTTTTAATGCCAACACAGCTGAATTACTGAGTCATCATCAAGTAGAAATCCAACAGAAATTCCCAAAAGAAGGGTATTGTTTCTCCTTTATGTTCCTGAATACTTGATGTTTGATATGATGTTGTTAAATTCTATGGAAAATGCTAATTAAGTTTTTTAACTGATGGAATGATTTCCACCTGTATGACCAACAGTATGGGCTTTCTTATTTTCTTCTCCTTTCATTGTGTTCTTGAAATCTGCTCTGTTAGCAAACACTCAAATTCATATTTTTAGAGTGAATGTAGAAGTTGCATTGTGGACAACTGAGGGTATTTCAGCAGAGAAAATAGTTTTCTTAGAATTTAAATATGTCCAACATGAGTAGAAAGGCATGTCTTGTCTTCAGATTTGCCTATTGTTCAGCTGCAATAATACATGCTTCCCAATGAAGGCTCTGTGTTATAGCCATGTCCTTTGAAGTATTTTCATAAGGTGCAGTTCTTGGATAGTTTCACAGAGAGTTAGATTTTCTTTTTATATTTGATTAAATTCAGGCCTAAAAGAATGGCTTTGTAAGATTAACTTCATAAGTTGGATATTCTTGCAGTAGGACGCCTCCTAATATGCCACAGACTTACAAAATAATTTTAGAAGTTTGGTGGCATTTTGTTTATATCACCAACAAGATAACTCTTGTATGTTTTTCTAGGAAAGCAGTAAGCAGTTATGTTGAAACATGCTTTTAAAATAATATGTCTACTTCACCCATCATGTAAATGCTACTTTGATGAAACTATATCAGAAATGGCCATAAAACCTGCTATGAGTAGCAATTCAGATACGTGCAAAATGCATAAGAAGGAAAATGCTTAGGTTTTGATGCTTGCATGTATCTTTAAATGCCAGCAGTTTAAACTTCTGTTTTATGACAAGTAAATCAGATTCTTAATAAGAACACTATGAAAGCAAGGCTACATATTTTAAATGTGATTTTTATGGGTATCATACAATAGGAGCATGTGCCAAAACATGCATTGTGATGCCAACTCCATCCCTTTTTTTCTTACATTCCACACAAGTATATAAGAGATATACATTCCTTTGTGACCTCACAACACAGTTTTCATCATTTTGGCATCATTGTGACTAGCTTTGGATGCCTTTGACTGAAGTTTCATTTTCTGATATGTCTGTCTTGTTCTAAAACCAACAGTGAAAAATACTGTTTGATTTTTATTTATTGTGAAGATCATTTTGACACTAAGATTTACATATACTACTTTACTTGACAATATAAGCCTATATTCTGTCTGAACAAAATCTTCTTGTAGGTTTTTGTAGGAAGAATTAAATGTGAAAAGGTCCATTCTGCTTCTGGCAAACTAGTTCATAGTAGCCGAAACTATTGTTGGTAAATGGTCATCTCTCTGTAAAGCAATGAAACAAATGAGCCTTTATGGTTCATTGACTCTATCTTATCAATTGCAAAAGCCAATCTGCTAATATTGCCCTTGATCTTTTAAAGGTGGGTAGAACAAGACCCAAAGGAAATACTGCAGTCTGTCTATGAATGTGTTGAAAGAACATGTGAGAAATTGAACCAGCTTAATATAGACATTTCCAACATAAAAGGTATTTTTAATTCAATAATAATCATGAATATCCTTCCAAATCAAGAGGAGGAAGTGATAGTCATAAAAGTTACGGAGGTGAATGTAGAATAAAAACGATGTTGCTAAAATGTTTTAAAATGAAACTGAAATATTTTAGAACTATAAGCAATTAAAAATTATTTTATGTGAACAGGAAGGCAAGTGATTGGGCAAAATAGCTGTGCTGAATTTTCCTAACACCTTTATCCCAATGTTGTCCCTTCTGCCATATTATATGTCAGTGTGGATGATCTCTTGATCTCAGAAGTGGCTTTTGATGATAAGTATGAAGAGCTGTTGTAGAAGAAGAAATCAGAAAGGCTTTCATTCAAAAGCAGAGTTTTGCTCAGGTTTTGGTGATTCACCATGAAATATGTAATACTCTATAAAATGATAAAATGTTTGTTTTGTTTTTAAAAGCTGTTGGAGTTAGCAATCAGAGAGAGACAACTGTAGTTTGGGACAAAGTAACTGGAGAGCCTCTCTATAATGCTATTGGTAAGTAAGGATATTGAACTGTTGTGAATACTTTTTAATTAATAAATATAGTTCTTCTCATACCCATATGTGTATTATATGCTCTATTAAAATCCATAAAAATATATTACACCAGATATTAGTCTTTGTTTTTTCCTCTTCATGTTTAAAGATGCAAGAAGAATTATTTGTATTCCAAACCAGCCCTGGAAATCCTCACTTTTTCTTTCTTCATTAGAAGGATTTGTTCCTACTGTTTTTTTCTACTAATAAACTAATCAGTTCCACATTATGCTTAGTTGAAGCATAATTTATTAATTAATCACGTCAGGATTTCCAAATGATATGTTGAATCAAAAGGTGAGGAATTCAGAACAAATCTTAAGGGCAGAAAACACTTTTTGCTATGTTTTATCCCAGAATGATTCTTAAATTTGGTCTTTCATCATTCAGTTGTCTGTATAAGGTATACATAGCATATATAAACTTTACATTTTAAATAGGTGAACCACTGAGTTGCACATTTTGAACAAGCTGCAAGCATTGACAGAATATTTCTAAGTGCTTATATGCATGGAAATTACAATAATTAAGCATTGGTAACTAAGCATAAATTGTTACACAAGAATTGGTTTGGGCACATCCAGTTTTATGGCTTGAATCTCAAGAGATACTCACAGAATGAATAAAGCCCCTCTGAGAGAATATAGACTAAGAATAAGACCTGCTAAATGAAGAAAACCTCCAGTATGACCTTGTTGTATTAAGTCAGAAGTTAAGTCTGAATGTTTCATATCTAAACTTAACTTGTAGCTTTATTCTTCTCTGTTTTTAATAATATCTACTCATAATTTTTATTTTATTTTGGTTTGTGGATATTTAACGTTTTTATTTAAAAAGTGTTTGGCCAGACAAGTAAACAACAAGATGAAGGCTTACTGATTATATTTTAAACAATTTGATTAAGTATGGTAAATAATTTGTTATTTGGAACTGAAATGACATTAGCTTAATGAGAAGTAAGAAGCATGGTTCACAATGATAAAATATCAATTTAAAAATCTAATCTTAATTCTCCTTTCTTGAATAAAGTTGTTCCTGTCTTTCAGGAACACATACAAGCTATACAAACTATATTAGATGGTTTTGAGAGGTTTTGTCAGTGGAGATTCAGAACCTGCTCCTATTCAATTAATGCATTGCTTAAATATTTACTTTTACTGTTACTAATGCTTGTTTTTTGGTTCTAGTATGGCTTGACCTAAGGACTCAATCTACTGTTGAAAGACTTCTTAAAAGGATTCCAGGGCAGAATAAATCCTTTTTTAAGGTAAAAACCGACTTTAGAATAATTGGAGTATGTCTGGTAATTATGCACTGTTAATCATCTTTTTTATTATGCTCATGCTGGTGAAAAAAAGAACCAGTTTGGTGTAGTGGTTAAAGGCACTAAAGAAACTAGGAGACTGTGAAATCTAGTCCTACCTTAGGCATGAAGCCAACTGGATTACTTTGGATGAGTCATTTTCTTTCAGCTGTGGAAAGAAAGTATGACAAACCACTTCCAAAAACATTTCCAGGATAACTGCATTGTCTCATCCAGGTAATCACCAGGAAAACTAACTTTCAATAACTTGACTAACTTTCAATTTTGCAGAGTAGGACTGGTCTCCCTCTTAGCACATATTTCAGTGCTGTGAAGCTATGCTGGCTTTTGGACAATGTGAAGGAAGTCAGGCAAGCAGTTCTTGAAGGGAAAGCTCTTTTTGGTACTATTGATTCATGGTTAATATGGGTATGTATCAATATACAATAATTAAATCAATTTCTTTTGCTTCTGTACTCTCTCAACTTGATTTTAACATCCTTAAAAACTATTCAAGAAAAAGTCATCTTCTTTTCCTGTATTATCAGAAACATTAATATTCATTGATAGACTGTCTTGAACATTATTAGCAGAATAAATTGGACCTGGATATAATGAATGCAGATCATTCATGATGAACAAATACTGTAGGTTCTCACATTTATTCCATTTGGATCACAAAACACTAAAGTTGGGTTTAGTAATAGCCTAAGTAATAACCTAAGGCCTACATTCATGCATCTATCCTATACAATGAGTAAATACATGGGAAGAGAGTGGAAATGCATAGTTTCTCTGTACAGTTGAAGATCCTACCAGGTTATGCGTACAATATGTGTAGCTCTGGAATGTTTGTGTTCCTTTAAGCATTTATATCTCTAATATGTCATGTTTAGCAGTAGAAGGTCATAGCAGATCCATTGGAACTTTCATCTTGTTAAAGCCTTTCATCAGTGATAAAGCATTTAAGAAACGAAGTTTTAGAAACTGAAGTCTGCTATATAATTCTCTCTCTCTCTCTCTCTCACACACACACACACACACACACACAGAGACACTGTAGAGGGCATAGGGAATGACCTTGAAGGACAGGAGGAAGAGCTGCTACTAAGGCAACAGTCAGATAAGAGGGCTTGAGCCCAGGCCAAGAAAAAAACTTGAGAAAACCTCTTAGAGAAGCCACTCCCTAGCATTACACGAAGATAAAGATAAAATGGGAAGCACATTCAGACTTGCAAGTTTCTGTTACTTATATCTATTACAGTAAAAGTAGTACTAACCTATATGGCATGTACCTTGTTGGACTGCTGGACACACAATGAACATGCTAGGTTAAAATTATAGCTGTTAACTCTTTAGTTTCTTATAACTAAATACTTTGTAAATAATAGCAAACTTAGTGTCTGCACATTTCTTCTGTTATTTTCCAGTTATGCACTAATAATAAATGTTTATTCATTCATTCATTTAAGAGTTTGACAGGTGGGAAAAATGGAGGTATTCATTGCACTGATGTAACCAATGCCAGTAGAACAATGTTGTTCAACATTAATTCATTAGAATGGGATGATGAGCTCTGCAAGTAAGTAACTTACTTCTACATATTTGAAATGGCAGTTTTTATTGTATGCCACTCAGAGTGTGAGATGGGCGGCCACATAAATTTGACAAAAAAATAGATAAAAGTTGTCCTCAAAATGTCAGATAGAAATCTTAATCTGGTTTACTTGGAAATAAAAATTGTTACAGCAGAATAACTAATTTTTTAACAGCTGTTTTTCCAAGAACACATGTAGAAAACATTTATATGGAATGCATTAATAATAAGTTGTTGCTTAAGGGTTTCAATTATTAAATGTCCTGTTATTTAACAGAGTTTAAATGGAACTATATATGTATGCTAATATAGAGTAGATTTTTGCAGCCATTGTTGGATTAACATTGTAGATACTACATGTCACATGAATGTACTCAAAAAGATACCACGGCTTTAAAAATTGTATTAAAGACCCAGCTATCATCCATTAAAATATTGAAATTTCACAGGGCTTAGCTAGGCTCAACTTACTGCCCTCAGAACTTCCCTCAGAACCATAAGGACTCCCCTTGCAAAGATGGCTCACTACAGTCCCTGAGCCATCTGCTTCTTTGTTGTTCCCTTTACAAGGATTCTCAGATAACTTTCATCTATACCAGAGTTCCTCAACCTTGGCAACTTGAAGATGTGTGGACTTCAATTCCCAGAATTCCCCAGCCACCATGGGTCCTTGAAGTCCACACATCTTCAAGTCGCCAAGATTGAGGAACCCTGATCTATACCATCCTGAAAAATATCAGGGTAGAGAGCACAAGTTCTATTTGTTGCCCTGATATTTGCTAAGAACCCAGGTATATCCTTCCAGTTTGCCTAGTTCTGTGTTTTTCTTTGCTCTATTTGCCTTACTTGTAGCTAAAGATCTTGATTTATCTGTTTACTTGTATTGTATGTTATTCTATTTTACCTCTTTATACTGTATCTTTATATTTTTATTTTTATTTTTATCCTGTAACTTATATTTATATTTACTTATTGTAGATTTTTATATTGTGTGTGTGTGTGTGTGTGTGTGTGTGTGTGTGTGTGAAATTTTTGTATTGCCATTTTCTGGCCTTATGGCTATAATAAATAATCTGAAACGTTTCCAGACGTATCAGAAACATTAAAAAAAAATTAAAAACCAGTGAAGACTTTATTTTTCCCAGCAAGAAAGGATTCACGCTAACTTTTTAAAACTACTACTTCTAGGTTTTTTGAAATTCCTATGGAAATGCTTCCCAATGTGCGGAGTTCCTCAGAAATCTATGGATTACTGGTATGTATTTAACTTTTATGCAAATAGTTTTACTTAGTTGAAATTGCATGTATTGTTTCTACTTAGTAGCCCATGCAAGTTGAGATTTATTTTATGAAACAAGTTTTGTCTAGCAGGAAGTATATTATTTACTTATTATTATTAATTTATTTGAATTTATAAGCCACCCAACTCCAGTGGACTCTGTGGGGTGTACAAAACTGGAAAACCATAAAAACAAATAAAAACATTAAAGCAAACAGACAGCTCAGACTGAAAGAATCTTACAGACAACACAAATCAAACAAGACAGGAGCCCTAGACAAACGATCATATATCACCCCTAGGCCTGGGACCAAAGCCAGGTTTTTAGAGCTTTTCAGAACCCTAGGAGAGAGCTCACTGTCCTTATCTCTGGAAGAATGCTGTTCCAGAGGGTGGGGGCCACGACAGAGAAGGCATGTTTCCTCGGTCCCACAAGATGAAAGTGTTTAATGGAGGAGACCTGGAGTGTACCTACTCTGCCAGAATGTATTGGGAGGGCAGAAACAATTGGAGACAAGTGGTCCCTCCGATATCCAGGGCCTATGGATAGATTAGAATAGATCCTTCTGTGGAGAAACACCTGCCCTCTGGAACGAGGTTCCCCCCCCCAAGAACTGTGTGGCCCCACTCTGCTGTTATTTAGAAGAGCTGTGTAGACCTGGTTCTTCATCCAGGTCTTTGGCAAGAGAGACTAAGTTCCCTTACATCATCACACTTCTCATTTTATGTATGTATGTATGTATGTATGTATGTATGTATGTATGTATGTTTTATTATAATTTCTTTGCTGTGAGTCACCCAGAGTCATGGAGAGTTGGGCGGCATACACATTTAATAAATTATTGTTGTTGTTGTTGTTGTTGTAAAAATCCTTAAGAAAAGTTTAGAGGACTTAAATAAAACTGTTGCTTTTGTGTCTTATGAAAGTTTTTATGTCTCATGAAATTATTGTTGTTTACTGTGAACTGCATGTACATATTTTTTTTTTAAATTATAAAGATTTAGGTGTGCCACTATCACTTATTTAAGTCAGTTCCAAATGACCTGCATATATTGATAGTTACTGTAAGAATTACGTGAGTTGCTTAGAAAGAAGGTATATTTCCAGTTCCAAATACCCTGTGCTCCTTGGATTTTACCACATCACCTGTAGTATCTCAGTGTAAATGTAATCCTCTTGTATTATATGGAATTAATGGTGTATCCCATTTTAAGCAGTTAAATCCAGAAAAGTATTATGACACAGTGGAATTTCCTTGTGTCAAATTAGTCTAGGAAGCTGATAAAAATTTTTGGGTAGAGATGTTTCCAGTAGCATGATCTTTTATGAAATCGTTATAGCTATTTGAAACTTACTTGTCTTGGGTTCTTGTTTTTGAACTTATACTTAAACTGAAATAACAATAAACTAATAGCATTTACTTGATTAAGCAATGTTTGCTTTAATTGAAGATGAATTTTAACTTTATTTCTAGTGAGTACCAGCTTCTTGGCTCTATTAATATGAGTTATTGGACAATTGACTATTTGACAGGTTTTTTTTTAACTATTTAAAGCATTCAAATTGCTATGCATAACCCAATTTTGGTACATTTTCAGTGGCTTAGATAGCTATTAAGCCATTCTTACCTTATGTATTTCATTGCAAGGTGTTTTGGGAAGGGTGGCAAACACTTTTGCAAAACTGAAGTGCTGAGCAAAAGTAGCCATTGCTTGATTTTTTTTCAGCTTCTAAAGGAACTGCAGATGTTCTTTTTAAATCCCTTTAATACAAATTATTGTATAGGGTGGCTAAAACTTTCAGGACTAAAACATCCATAACTAGTTGACTACAGGAGGAATTATTGAATGCACATCTTAATCACAGAATTGTCAGAATTGGAAAAAAGCACATTCTCACCATTTCTCTGTCTATTCTTCTGTCGGATGGGCAGCCTGCAGTTTCGTGTCTTAGCATGACCCTCCCCCTATTTACAGCTCTTAGATCCTCTTTTGATCATGACTGCTAAAAACTGAAAGTCCAGTTTTTCACCATTTTACAGTAGAGAGAGATACATGAAAGCTATAGTGTAAACTATAAGATATACGTATAACAGTTTAAAAAGAAAAATAAAAAAACCTCCCTCTAAGCCTTACCCCACCCACACATGGGCCTATCTATTCTGCATCCTTTAGTGCCTTTAAAAGTATCAGATGTAGTCAAAAATTAACATTCAAAAAGTTATCCACCCCCCCCCATTCTAATCAAATGGGACCCCTAGTATTGAAAAATATCTGATGATCTGTTACTTGAATTTATTTCTTAAATAGTGCAGGTAGTCCTTGCATAACACCCCTAATTGAGATTGGAATTTCTGTCACTAAGTGAAGCAGTCATTAGGTGAAGTATCATGTGACTGCACTGCTTAGCAGCAGCAGTTCCAGTAGTCCCGGTTGCAGTCGTTAGATGAGGACCTCACACTTCTCCTGCCCTGCATGATCTGTGAATTCTGTCCCACTGCCTTCTCCCCATCTGGGCCCAGCAAGCTCCCTTTGGCAGATGAAGCTCCACTTCAACTCTCTCTAGCCGCCTATCTCCCCCCATCTCTGCCCTTTTGGTAGCCCTGCAGTCCACTGCTGCCACCTACCCCTGCCACCCCCTGCTGCCACTGCTGCAGCAACTACTTTGGCTAGGCATGCCTCAGCAGTGGGAGGAAGAAGATGGCGAAGGTCAGCTGGGGGCGGCAGGAGTAGGCGTTGGTGGCTGTGATGGAATGTATCTATGAGGAGGAGGGTGATGTGGGAGATCAACACTATCAGGAAGGAGGGGGTGCATTCCAGGAGGGGAATGGAGACAAGAGACAACACAATCCTCAGGGGGAGTGTGGGAAGTGAAAGAGGTTCAGGATAGCCATTCCCTAGAATCTCCCAGGGTATATCCACTTGTTGCAGTAGTATAGATTTAGTTTGGCAAGATTCTGTCTATATGGTGTAAGCAAATAAGAAACTTTACTCAGCTGGACTGTTTTACCGTTGTTCTTGGGCTGGGCCTGATAGTTGTGCAGGGGAGCCAAAAGGGCAGAAATGTGGGGAGATGGGAGGGGGGATTGAAGTGCACACTGCAGTCATAAATGCAGGCAGGCTGCCAAGCACCCACATTTTGATCACGTGATTGGGGGCACTTCAACGGCCATAACTACCATTTGTTCAGCTCCATCGTAACGGTCGCTGAATGAATGGTCATTAAGCAAGGACTACCTGTATCCAATGTTTTCATTATGATATTGATATGTATGCAGGTATAATCCCCTTCAAGTTGTGTTCAACGCCTGATGATTTCTCATTGCCTTATTCCAGTTTTGTTTTTTTTTTCAATTTCACATTCCAGCCTACCACCATAGTTATTATTTCGAGATCACCCAGTCAGGTACTAATGAGGCCTAGTCCTGCTTACACCTACAGACATACTTTCAAAGAGTGGCTTTGTGGATCTGCAATTTAAACTGTACCATAACTTATGGGACAAGAAAAGTGCTTAGGAAAATGGAGATGGACTAGCAGGTTTTGAAATTATGAACTTGTTTGTGTCTCTTTCCCATTACTTTTTTTTTGTTGTTGTTGCCGGCAATAGAAAATCTCCCCTACCCTGGTGAGTAGGATTTTGTTAGGATACAGCCAGTTACATCTTCATTCATCTTGCTTAGGTGCAGTGCATTTCTTCAGGGGAGGTCCCTCTTTGCTGTAATGAAATGCCCCTCTCAGAGTTTAACTAATTACAGTTGAAGTTCAGTTTATCACTTTGTGCCTTTGAAACCTTAGAAAAATGAGATTAACAATTATTTAGTTTCTGGCTAAAAATTGTATTTAGAGCAGAGAAAGTTTTTTTAAAAACAGTGATAGCTTAAAAAGTAAAGATATCCCTAAATAGAAATGCACTGACTACATTTTATGCATGGCTCACTAAGCTGATCACTGCTGTTGAGAGTGCATGTGCACACATAATATCTGAAAAGAAACATTATTTTTGTCTCAACAGATGTAGCTATTTGTTAAATGTTCATACTTTTGCCTGTTTGCAAGAACATCATAGCATTACTCTTCGAGCTCTTGGATAAAGCTTCATATGATTTCAGAGCATGACCGTTGAATCCTTTCCTTCCACTTCTATATAACAATAGGCACTGACCTCCATTTGTGAAGCATGGTGCTTACCTTTTTATTGTAGCCTCAAGGATTTCATGAACTAAAATGATGTCTGTTTCTGAGTTGGGCAGGCTGCATGCTGCTTCCTAGATGCCATTTGTGGATTTCCAGCATCTTGAGAACATGCCTCCAAGATTTAATGGCAAAATGGCCAATTTTTTACAGTGCGATTTGAAGTAGTGTTCATTTCTAGGAGAAATATAAGGGTGAGAATAGTATCAGCTTACCCCCCAGAACCTAAACTGTGCCTTTGTCTCTTCTGGTGATGTTACTGCCAGAACGCTTTCTGCAACTGTCTAGAAAGGCTGAGATGCAGTCCCAGCCACTCAGGGGCTGCCCTTTCCTGATCTCTGTATTGCTAAATTTAATTAACAGAGGGAAGGTCTTTGCTTGGATGAACTAATGGAGAAGAAGCTACTTGTATAGTTTAATACATAGAGAAGGAAAGACTGGACTATAACATGGGAATAAAATATAAATCCTCTGTTCTCCTCTAGTCTCCTGTATTGATCTATATATCTGAGAAGTTATTTTAATTCAAGGTAAATTGCTGTTTGCTCTTTGATTCTCTCTTCTCCCTGCCCTTTTCTGGGCATTTCTAATTTATAACTTTTGAACAAGAGAACACCCAATGTTTCCATTTTTTAGTAGCATTTAGAGATGATGTTACTTTGTAATTATCATATGACATATTTTCCTTTTTAAACGGTAAAGTGCAGGCATCCTGGTTTTAACCAAAATGTGAAGCTTCAACAGAGCTTTATGATACTACAGTGAAACACTAAAATGTACTGTATAGTATTAACCTGTAGTAGCCATTTTCCTCTTAGAAGCTAGACAGTATAAAAAAACCTTATCTTTTCAGGAATTAAATATGTAGTCGTAAATAATTTTCCCATACCGTATAAAGGATTTAGAGTTTTTTCCCACCAGTCCTTGTTGTTTGCCATGCTGATTGAAGCTACAGGGAGCTGAAGTTCAGGAACATCCGAAGGAAAGGAGATATGTTCCCCACCTCTGTTCCATATATGTGGGATTCTCAGGGCATCTCAAACGCAGTGGAGAACCTCATATGCCTTTTATTTTGTTAAGTTGCCAGATGACAAAGTTTACTCAGCTCCCCTATTGTTATTTTTTGTTTTCGTTTCTGCAAAGTATTTTAATTTGCTTATCAGCTATAACCCATCATATTCTAACTATACATTTTTACACGTATATATACACACGTTTTCCTTATTTGTAAAATACTTGAAAACTGTTGCATTATTTTTTTTTTTAATGGCTTTTTTGGCAGAGTTCTGGAGCTTTGACTGGTGTACCAATTTCTGGGGTGAGTTTCCTAAATAAAGTTGTGATGATCTTTTAATAAAATTTATGCCAATTATTAGAATCCTCATACCGTATCCATTTGATATAACTTGTTTTATTAAAAGTAAATTTAATAGGGAAAATAAAAGAAGTAATATGTGCATGTTAGTAAAAAAAAAAAAAAGTAGTGATTATTTTTTTTATGTTTCCAGGTTTAGGCCTGGAACAGATGAATTCATAATGAGTGGGCATGTTATACAATATATTTAAAAAATATGCATACTAATTAATAGTTATAAGAAATAATCACAAATTTGTAAAGATAACTGAAGGCATTATACTCCTTAGGAGCATAATGCAAAATCCTGATCATATAAACTGAATATCCACTACACAGTTTTGTCTGCTAGGTAACAAAATATAATGTTCTAGATTAATATTATTTCTTGGCTTTCAAAATCAGCCAAAATTATTGAATAGAATGTTCAAGTTAATATTGAGCATGCTGTATTCTGAGTAGTTTAGAATAGAATTCTAGTAGATTCCAGTAGTTTCCGGAACCAAAAATGAAAATTAGCTGTCAAGATAGTTTTTTAAAAAAAATTAGAACAGATATCCATATTTTAAGAATCACAACTGTGTATCATTTGCCAAAAGAAATGATGCATTCAATCGTTTTGCTTAACCTTTAGGAAATAAATATGTTTCTGCTATTTTCCCCTTTTCACAAAGAAAAGGACACTTTCTGTAATGAAATATATTTCAAAGTGATAACAAAACTCAAATTTCATTCTTCTTTTAAAGTTTATTCTCTTAATTGGAGAATGTCTCAGTTTAATTGAAGAGTCTACATGAATTGTTCTTAGTACTTCAAGAAGGGAGCTTAATTTTTGAACTGGTAAAAGTCTCTTGGAATTCTGCTTTCTTCCTGAGCTGGCTTTGTGCTGCTTTTTTATGTATTTCGTTCCTGATTCACTTATTATTTTTCCTTTATGACTAGTCTCATTCCTTTTCTGAGCTAATTTAACAGGCTTCACTATTTCTGTGCATCTTGTAGCATTCTTGCAGAAGTGGGAAGAGAAAAGAGGAGACTACGTTAGCTGAGTAGTGATTAGGCTGGGGAATAAGTAGCATGGAAACTTGAAAAAAAAAATGAAATCCAGGCATTGCTGCTATAAAAAATGAACCACATTCTGCCTCTGAATTGATGCAGGATTTCTTCAGTTCCTTAATTCTGTTGGAATTTTTTCTCTAAGAATAAAATGTACCAGCCTATGCCCCCCCCAAAAAGAGAATTCAATTTGACTATTAAATTAAATAAATGCATAGAAATGTTTTGGTTGAATATTATGGAATTATTGTCTTTCCAGTGCTTAGGTGACCAGTCTGCTGCGTTAGTAGGACAAATGTGCTTCAAGGATGGCCAAGCAAAGAATACGTAAGTTTAATATGAAATACTACATTATAGACTTAATTAAGGGAAATTAATACAATTTTAGCTGACTTAATCCAGTATCTCTTAAGGATGTGCAGATAAAGGTAACTGTGTTTTGTTTATCTGATTAATTTTAAGAGACCAACATTTTGGATTTTTAATAAAATATCCATAGGAAATAAAATGCTGATCCATTTATCTGTCTGTCTGCCTATCTATCTATCAAATTTGTAACCGTCCATCTCGTGAAACGACTCTGTGGAGTCATTTAGTGGAAATTGGACATCTGTCTTTTAATAGTGAAAAGGCTCTCAACAGTGCAAAAAGGCTTTGGTTTCTCTAGAATTTCCTGGGTTGATCATGTAACCATGCTATTTAGTTTGGATATTATAGGAAGCAAAGAAAGAAGAAATTTGTGCCATTTTGACATTTAGATTGCTGCTATTTATGAACAGCTTTAGAGTGAATTGTTATATTCCAAGTTTCTCAAGATGATGTATATCTGATGCAATTTCTTCATATCATGCATGCTGAAGAATTACATCCTGCTTTTCAGATGTACTTCAGTAACTTGTTCTTTTCACTGTAGGTATGGAACAGGCTGCTTCTTACTCTGCAATACAGGCCATAAGGTTAGTGCTATGAATTTAAGAACTTGCTATTTTTCAAATAAATAGACCTTAACACCTGATACACTTAACTGTATATTTTTTAAAGAACATTGTTCAATTATAAAATGTTTTCCTCTGCCTGTAATGTCTTCTATATAACTTTAAAATCATTTTGTGACATGACTCTTGGTTCAGGCTTTAGCCTCATAGTATTTTTGATTTTAAAGTTGATTAGTGTGAAAGCCTTAAAAAGATATCAGTATTAGAAAACTATAATACATTAGCCAGTGTTTAAGACAACTGAGAAATACTTGTTTTATTATTTTGGCAACAGCTATGTTTAGCAGATAGCCAATTAGATTTCTAGATAAGTAATTAATAAAAGCAAAAAAGTTATTATTTATTAAGATGTCCAAAATTTATTTCACTATCATCATTCTCCCCCATGAAATACTGTATTTGTCGATAGTTATTAATGCTTTAAAGTTTCCTCTTATGTTTTAAAATTGTACATGATTGCTGTGTAGTGGGTTTTCCTATAAAGCAGGAACAAGGAATAACTAATATTTTCCAGAAAAATTTTTTTTTCCTCTTTGTTTTTTCTCAGCCTGCATTTTCTGAGCATGGCCTTCTAACCACCGTGGCTTACAAACTGGGTAGAGACAAGGCTGTATGTTATGCATTAGAAGTAAGTAAAATAGTTCAGTGTAGGCATCTTGATATTTCAGTTTCAGTGGGTGCCAGCTAACCACTTATTTCTAGGTAAACTGATATAACTCAGGTTGCTGGAGTGATGCCAGGCACCATTTTATGTGGCTCTAAGAAAAAAAATGTCCATTTTGAGTGGTACATATATTCATAAAAGCTACTTTACTCTACTTGATTACCAGCAATTCAATATGAACTCAGTGAGAAAATATGGTATTTGAAGGATATGAATCTTTGTATTACAACTATAACGACCAATTCACATGTGCAAGTCAAACATGGGTATAAATTAGGCTGAGTGTCGTTTTCATGAAGTTTTAATTGTGAATGATTCCATATTTATGTTTACATGGTGTCCCAGTATTCTACAGCTATTTAAGATCTTTGAGGTTGCTTTAAAAATAGGTGTAAATGTTAGAGCTGCAAAACAGACATGCATCTATTTTTTATGGATATTTGTATATTATGCTCTAAGAATAATCATGAAGTAATAAATGAAACATTTTTAGTCTTCCTTTTGTTTTAGGGATCTGTTGCTATTGCTGGAGCTGTTGTTCGTTGGTTGAGGGACAACCTTGGTATTGCAAAATCTTCAGAAGAAGTAGGTGAGTATCTATAATTTTCCAATTTATTGTAAATCTGTAAGAAGAGGAGAGGGAGGTCTGTTAACTTAGATAAGAATTTTATGTATCTAGTTAAGCACTGTGCCATTTCTTAACCCTAAGAACCTAATGATTGGATTTGGGGATCTTGTATTTCTTCTGAAAATGTAATAGAGAAAATATTTATATAATACTGTACTATTGCTACTAGGAGTATAATCATAATATACTTACCCAGAGTTTCAATTATTATAATTAATTAAAACTGCAATTTTATACCATTTGCCGGGGAGGAGGGGAACACTGACCTTAGTAGAATTTATTTTTGAATAGAACTATACCATAAGATTTTATTTGTGGGAGTTCCAACACATCTGGAAAGTACCAACTTATAGAATATTATAGCATATATAACATTGGTACTTCTGCTTCCTAGCTCCTTGTTTATCATATAGCTTAATGGATTCAACAATCTTGCTTATTGTAGAAATTACATTTCATTGTGCAATTCCTAGCTTTAAAATGACAATTTCTGTATAGAGATAAATTTTCTATTTTGTGTTGATCTTAGAGAAACTTGCTGCTGAAGTGGGCACGTCTTATGGCTGCTACTTTGTTCCTGCATTTTCAGGATTATATGCACCGTACTGGGAACCCAGTGCAAGAGGGTAAATATTATCTGATTGAATGTTATATTTAAATACTGATTTTTTTTCTGACATTCTGATAATAAATCAGGGCTTATGAAAGATTGAGTGTATAGTCTGCTTTATGCCAAAGGAAAGTGCCCTTGCTGACATCTGTGAGCACATTTGACATCTCCCAGTCCCTTGCCCAGTTTTACTTTTAAAAGGTATTTATTTTAAACCAAATATATAAAAAGCTGACATAGTAAAAATCAAACCTACCTCCTCTAAGGCATCTTTATTTCCGATAATACCTTTTTGTCCGCATTTACCTTGTGGGCAGCCTTAGGAAACAAAAATGGTGGGTAGTTGCAGCCCAGGACTTTTGTTCATAAATGTGCTTGCGTGCCAAGGGGAACACATCAGGTTGAGGCTGGGTATTCCATAGAACAAGAAGGGTTGGGATGATGCAGCCTTGCCAGTTTGCTTTCTGATAAATTGGTGCTTTGTTTCTGACCATGACAGCTATTTGGGGATTGGGAAGACTCCTTATGGTAGACTTTCTTAAATGTACCTGCTGACCTTTCCTCCAAACTATAGGTAGGATGCAGATTTCCCCAAACCATACAAACAGTAAGGCAAAATCAGTTTTAAAGAGTGAATGTGTTGTCTGGGTTCAGGGTGCTAACCTGACTGTGCTTTATTCCATTCTGTCCCCAAATATCACTTTCCATAGCGAGGCTGAAGTAGAAATTACTCAGCAGAAGCCGCATATATGAACAAAAAGTTAAATCCCCAAACTTGCGGGGACATCCACTTTTAATGTTGGACATTAACATCTCATTTCCTTAGCGTGATTGGTTCAGATCCACAGTTAGGCATATGTAGTGCCATACTATTGATCCTCGGTTGGATTCTGTCGACATGGCCAGTATACTCTTCCAAACAGGTACTTGTATGAACACAGTGAGGCAATGCTGTGGCAGCAGTATGTTGTATTTTATTAAGTATTACTTTTATTCCTAACTGTAGTATTGTTTGTCTTTCTTTACAGAATTATCTGTGGCCTTACTCAGTTTACAAATAAAAACCACATTGCCTTCGCTGCACTAGAAGCTGTCTGCTTTCAAACACGGGAGGTATGGGTGATTACTATTGTTATGATTGTTTGAGTTAGTTTTCTCGTTCATGTTACTGTAGTTGGTATTTGTACAGGCAGCTATGTCTGAATGTGTTTAAATTGTAGCTAATTTCACCTTCTGAGAAGTTTGTTCAAAATGCAAAATAAAATTGTCAAGTATAATTTTCTCCTACTTTAGGATTTGCTTGCCTCTTCCTAATTTTTTATAATGCCATAAAGCCAAATATTTCAACTAATTATTTTTGTGATATAATTTATAAAATACTTAAGGTTTTTTATTGAAAAAGCTAATGGAAATGGTTTGTTTTAGATATTGGATGCAATGAATAAAGACTGTGGGATACCACTTAGCCAGTTACAAGTTGATGGAGGAATGACCAATAACAAGATCCTTATGCAACTCCAAGCTGATATTCTTTGTATTCCAGTAGGTAAGATAAAAGTTTCCTTCCATTTTATTTTAGATTGCTATGTATAAGGCCCAACTATGACTGTTGAACAAATTATTTCAATTTATTTACATTAGAATATAATGTAATTATCTCTCTCTCTTGCCATGTAGGCTTTTTGGATCCTTCTTACTTTGTGAAGTCATCCAAGGAAACTGCAGCTCATTTTTTTTTTTTTGGCCAATTCAATCTTCTTGCTCTGTCTTGTTATTCTACAGTTATTCAGTAACTCTGTACACATAGAAGGAACTCTGTTCACAAACCTCTTTCAGGAACAATTAATCAGTGATTTCTGTCAGGGTAAAAAAAAATATTGAAAACATTATCTTGTCTTGTTTATTTAAAGAAGGTTTATATTGTTCTTCCTGTCACTTCAATTGACAGTGTTGTCATGGAAAGGCAATTCTCTGCTAGCACCTTCATTTAAAAATGCTGCAATGGGGTGAAAGGGTAAGGAAGTTTCCTGCTGACTGAGTTCTACAAAACCTTCTAAGGATAAAAGTTTAAGGAACAGCACTTTGAGCAATACAGCGATGGGAGGGAGGGAAGGAAGGATATATGGATGTAGTATAGTAGTTAAGGTGCCGAAATATGACTTAAGAAACCCAGTTTCTAGTCTCTACTGAACTACAGAATTAAATGGCAGCAAATAGCAGCCCCTGTTAGGTAGATTGGGCTATGGAAATAAAATGGTAGGCAAACCTCTTGTGCATCACTTTCAGCTTTTGAGGAAAGGCAAGATATACATGTAATATTAACTAAATGAAACTTCTACCAGAACCTTCTTACAGCTTTAATGATTCCTTTACAAACACACACACGTACCTGCAAGAACGCTTGTCAAGATGTCAGATTTAATTTCACTGTAATGCAATTCTGGTTTGATGCTGTCTGGGTAAGGATTCAAAGCAAAAGCAGTGTTACATAGATCAAATAATTGTAGATGTAATTAACCACATTTGGGATTCCTCTGTCTATATGCACGAAATATTTTTTTTTGGTCAAAGAATACTTCTTGTTCTTTATAATTACCTTGATTAAAGGAATAATCTAGGGTTCATTTTGGTGAACGTCTAGGGTGATAGCAACTAAGATAAAGTATGTTTGCTTGGTTTTTGGGCTCCCCAGTTCCTGTAAACCCAACAGTTCGAAAACTCACGTGAGTAGATAAATGGGTACTCTCACTCCGGTGGGAGGAAAAATCTCCCCAGTTCCTGTAAACCCAACAGTTCGAAAACTCACGTGAGTAGATAAATGGGTACTCTCACTCCGGTGGGAGGAAAAATGAGTGCAGGAGGTGGGGTTTCTGTTGCTTCGCGCCCTTTTTGGGCGCGCGTGGTTTTTTGCGCTTACCGGCAACTGCTCCCGACTCCTTTTTTGCAAGGCGCCGCCAGCATTTTTCCTCCCACCGGAGTGAGAGTACCCATTTATCTACTCACGTGAGTTTTCGAACTGTTGGGTTTACAGGAACTGGGGAGGAAACAGGAGCTCACCCTGCTAACGCGAAGGCTGGACTCGAACCGCTGAAGCGTTGACCATTTCTGGCCAGCAACTTTCAGCGTTGTTAAGCCGCTGCGCCACCGCGTCCCCCTCTTGCATTGGTTACTAGTTCTCTATATTCCATTGTTGATTAATCAGTGGACTCCTTCATAAAAGAATCCTCCTTTGTAAAAAGCATATTTGTCCTGAATTTACTAACGTTTTTCAGTCAGTTGAAAGAAAAGGGAAGTAAAGCAGGGTTTGAAAGCGAAAAAAAAAATAAGATACTTGTTTTATTACTTAAAATGTTTACAGTGTAAAATATTTACATACATTTTGTTCTATCAAAGACTAGGTAAATATGCTACCTTGATTTCTGTGTTATTAGTAAAGCCATCCATGCCCGAAACCACAGCACTTGGAGCAGCAATGGCAGCGGGAGCTGCAGAAGGAGTGGGAGTGTGGAGTCTACATCCTGATGACTTCACAGCAGTAACATGTGAACGTTTTGAGCCACAGATCAATCCAGAGGGTAAGAGGGCTTTTAAGATCTGATCTCTGCTATCTAAGCTTGCTCAGCCCATGCAGATGTAGCTAACTCATACTGCTATTCGGATTAGCATAGTCTGTTCTGTCACCATAGTTGTGTTATCTCTGTGAACTATGAACGTGTCTTAGGAAAATTCTGTCGGGTGTGTGTGTGTGTGATATTTTCCTCATTTTTATTTAGTTGTTGAAGTTACCAGGAGATTAGTGAGATACCTGTGCATTTAAGAAGGCCATTCCAAATATTATAGAACAAGTGCTTATGTGTTACATAAAGATAATTAAGTATTTGAATTTTTTATGAAAACGTTGCTTACGATTTCAGAAAGTGAGTATCGTTATACAAGATGGAAGAAAGCTGTTAAGAAATCAATGGGCTGGGAGACATCAGAACCTCAAGGAAATAGTGAGTCATCATTTATGCTTTACTTGTGAAAGTCAAATTGCTTTTCTATACACACATAGGCTGCAGCAAATAGCAAAAATAGATTTTTTTTTAATTGATGGTGGTAGTAGTTGTAATCAAACCATGTTTTAGTAAGTATACTAGAAATTGAAAATACAGAACAAGCAAAATATGTGTGAGTTTATTTTTTAATAGTTTCTGTTGAGATGCATATCCAAATAGTACCAAGTTAGAAGTGTACTCTCAAGTCATTTGAGGAATGCCTTTCTGCAGGGGTGCACAACTTGTTGCTGAATTGTATGAAAATCCCCAGTTTTGAGTACAGCTTGCAGAACAATCAAATCTTGCCACCAAGTTCTAATTTTAAAAGTGACAAAAATGACGTATGTAAAATACATAGGAATTAATCATATTAAGTATATAAATTCATATAAATGCATGAATTTGTTTTATCCTGGCCTCTAGCCTGCTTCTCAAAGCCAGTCACAGTGATTGGGCTGAAAAAAATTGCAAATCTAATCAATAAGTAGAAACACTTTATAACTTTATAAATTACATAAAGAGTTTAAGGCAATTGCATGCCAGACTTGCATTCTTAAGCAATTTTTAAAGTTTTGAAAAGTATCTCCAGATAAGAGTTTTGGTGAAAAACTATTTCAGTTTTGTTTCAAACTACTGAAATACAGATTGTATAAGGCTTCATTTTCACATTAATCTGTGGAAGCTATTACCCATCATGATTAATTTTGAATGTAAATTGTTATATGTACTATGCAAAATAAATAAATATATTCAATCCCTCATTGTTGGGAGCTGTAGTACTAAAATAGAAAAAAAAAGCTGACAAAGTTTATTTGTCTTGATATGTACATTTTTATTGAAGTCCAATTGAGAATATATCTGAACTCACATTAAATATATTTGGTTTAATTAATTAGTGCTATTTTATGATGGTCAGTGAGAACCTAAGTATTTTTATTTAGAAATATATTCTAATAAATTCAGTTAGACTCTTTTCCTTCTAAGTGTGCTTAAAATTGTAGCTCTGTTGGCTTGATTTGATTAATATTTTTAAATATAATTAAGTATAGTCATAAAATTTAAAGTATGAGTTCACTGTAATATAAAAATTGAAAATAACTGTAAAATATTAGCTCCTCCAGCCAGAAGGAGGAGGATGCATCATTTAGATCAAAGTTTCTCAAATGTGCAAAGAGATTCTGGTTTTGGATAGAAGGACAACTTGAGATCTTACTAGACACTTATAGCCTTTTTTCCCCTTAACGTCCTAATAATTACAGAAATAAAATGAATATAGATATAGATATATAGATATGTATATGGAATTCTTGCTTGAGGAACTTAAGATAGAACTCCAACAATAGAGCAAAGAGTCCAAAACAATATTTTTCTTATACAAAGCAGTAGTTTCTGTGCTCTTGAAAGATGCAGGCAGGTTAGTAGAGGATAGTGATTACAATGTTTGCATGAATAAATTAAAAAATATGAAAAACTGTACACTGTTTATTCTTGCAAGTCCTGATCTGGTTGACGTTGACTGGACCAAAACTAAAGCTTCGCTGGTTTCAAGAACCTACAGGAATTATAAGGAAAACCTTTTTTTTTTTTTAATGAGGATGTTAATAGCACCCAATAGTAATTATCTTGGTAATTTTACATTGTAATTAGTAAAAGAGAATACAGTTAAAACTCATCTCAGCAATGGCTTATCAGAGCTATAACAACTTTGTGCTTAGTCAGACACTGGAAATGCAACCCAGGCAGGGACAAATTTGTGAATAATATCACATATTCTGTATGAATAGCGCATTAAATCCGATTAGGTTTTTTATTCCACACAAAATTTATGTTTAGCTAAAAGAAAATAATGTTCTATTTATGGTGAAAAAATATGTTAACTTTTTAGATTCAGCAAGCATGACCTATAAATTGGGTGGGAAAGATGTAAAGAAGGAGAGAAGCTTTATTTAAATGTTATTTTTTTCTGCAAAATTAGTGTGAAGTGAGTTAATATGTAAAAACTTGAGAACCATTGAATTAGATGCAGTGCTTTTTCCTGAGGATAGTTTAAATGTTTATTGCTACTTAAACTTACTGTGCTGTTTGCTGCAGAATACTATACACAGTTACTCTGAAATGAACTATAATGAATTCAGTGAAGTTGAGCCCCTGGTAAATGATATAAAACTGCAGCTTTACAATCTATAGAGCATTCCAGATATGACTGTCATAAATGGCTTGAGTACACTCTAATTTATGATAAACAGCAATAGCAATTTTGTGCTTTCAATTCTGGTCTGGAGGATAGTTGGTATATATTGTACTTGCTGATAGAGATGTATGATAGTATGATGGAGCAAGCACCATGCATGATTGGACTTAAGAGATATGCAGTGCCCATATTACCTCATATACCTCGTATACAGTGGTATATGGTAGTGGTACCTCATATACAGTCAATACTTTTGAAAAGTAAAGCTAGTATGCGATAGTTCATATGTGTATAATCAGAGACACACATGAATCCATTCTTCCACCTTTCATAGTGCATTCTTCCTCCTTACAGTATTTTTAATGCTTAATATCAGCTTTATTTTGAAATTCTGTACCATCTGCTTTATTATTAGTAAATTGGTTCTGTCTAAATATCTTAAATATTGACACTGGACGCAAGATTGAAATATATCTGAGCATCAATGTTCGGCCTTCTCATTTTTACTATATGCTGAACTATCTGTAGCATTTTGCAGACATTTCTTTCTTTTCTGATTTTCTTCATGTAATTCTTAAATAGTGCAATTTACACGTATCTCTCTTTTGATTTGTTTGACTGGAACCTCACCTTCTGGATGACATCAGGTGAAACTAGTATCTTCTGTAGTCTGCCTTTGGGCTTTTTTGTAATGAATAGCCTGTTAATGTTAATCGGAGCAAAGTATATCTCAGGTTAGTTTATTATTTTGAACTGGCTTGTTTTCACAAGGTATCACTGCTAGATTATTTAAATACTTTCAATTTGAAATAAAATGTTTACTATTGTTGTAATGAGGAAATATTTAATGATATTGTGTATATTAGCTCTAAACAATTTAAATTAAGACAGTCTACTATTTCAAAGTTCCTAGAGAAAAGACATAAATTTTAAAAAATCTGCCATAAAATTCTTCCTACTATCTCAAATCAATTTTAAAAGTTTTTTTTTTTTTTGGCATGAATAAATTCTGATTTTCTGTACTATATACTAGTAGTATATAGTAGTATTATATACTAGTATATAGTACTAGTACTAGTACTATATACTAGTATTATAGTAGTATAGTAGTATACTATACTACTATAATAGGTATGCATTCTAGTAATTCCTCCTTTGAGATTTTATAACCACTGAAAAAAACACGTAACTGCAAAAAGGCCAGGATTTGTGACACATAGGGCTAATAAGTCATTTTTAAAAAATTTTCTAGATCAGAAAAATGTACTGTTAAGATCTCGCCGGTGAAGTCGATTCTTATCCCTGTCAAATTTGTTTATTTTAGATGCCACAAGACTCATATTTTTGTTTTATTAAGGCAAAGTTAATCTTAGCCTCCTAAAAATATTCCTTATTTTGTTTTAAAAAATTGTAAGTTTCATAATTTTTCTGTTTGAAAAAATAATGATAGTTAATAGTTTGTCAAATGGAGAAATGTGAATGGCTAAACTGACTTGGTCACAACTGAAAACTATGTGTATACTTAGCAAAATCAAGTACCTCTTTATAGCTTTAAGCACGTAGGGAAAATATAAATTGATCTTGTACATGGACTAGGATGATGGAATTCAGGAAGCATTTATTCCCAGCTAGCCAGGTGATATTTACTAGAAGTAATGAGCTTTTCCCAGTATCTGTATAAATAGATTGTCATACATAAAACGGAATGTTATTTTCATTCTTTAACTAACTTATAAAATAATAGGTAATTTTATTTTTTAATTAATGCCAATTTACAAATAATTACTTGGCTGATTAATTATGGCATATTAATTCTCTCATGGAGATCAGCCATCTAGACTCCTCCTTTTTTAGGCAGAAAAAAATCATATAAGATACATGTATATGAAAGACAGAAAGATAGAGAAAGAATTCTGTGAAATATTTAAATAATGTGGTGTTTGCTTATACTAGAATTTATCCTAGACTATAAAATACTACTGATTATTAATTAGCACAATTCAGAATTAAAGATGAATTTTTTTAAATCATGCATTATCCCAAAGTACTCCTTAAAGTACTAGACATTTGTCACATACGATGCAGTACTGATTCAATGAATATAGAAAGGAAAGAAGGAAGACATGCAGGAAATACCATATGTGCTCCTAAGCAGCTCGCAATAAAAATCCACTACAGGATGCCTCTGAGTCTGGGCTTGCTATGTCATGCTCTGCCTCCTCAAATGTTGAATTCTAACTAGAGCGCTCCCAAAATCTCACAATAAGAATATTTGGCAAGCTGCTTTTCTGTAAGCCCTGTATGATTACAGGTGAAACTCGAAAAATTAGAATATCGTGCAAATGTTCATTTATGTCAGTACGGC